TATATATATTTAATCCCCTGGCTACTTAGTAATGTACCAACTTAACAAAAAAGTTAAGATTCAACTGGAGCGTTCATTTCTAAGTTTTATAAACTTTTTATTTTAAAACATTTAATAACAACTCCTAGATAAAACATGTTAGAAATTATATTTGCTTTAATGAGATTCTCCCTTTTTGCTGCTGCTGCTGCTGCTAAGTTGGTTCAGTTGTGTCCGACTCTGTGCGACCCCATAGATGCCAGCCCACCAGGCTCCACCGTCCCTGGGATTCTCCAGGCAAGAACACTGGAGTGGGTTGCCATTTTCTTCTCCAATGCATGAAAGTGAAAAGTGAAAGTGAAGTCGCTCAGTCGTGCCCGACTCTTAGTGATCCCATGGACTGCAGCCTACCAGGCTCCTCCATCCATGGGATTTTCCAGGCAAGAGTCCTAGAGTGGGGTGCCATTGCCTTCTCCACCCTTTTTGCTAGAAAGTATGTATTTCACAGTCATAAAGACTTGCCCATTCCCTCTCTATATCCTCCCTCCCAAGAGAATGTATTATGAAAGAAAGAAATGGAACCTGTTCCAATCGTCAGTGTAGTAACTGAAAAGTACTCCATCTTTTCTGAAGACTGGTGTGACCTACCTTCTGATTCTCCCCAGTTTTACAGATTTGCACACTCAGAGGCCCAGCTTCCCAGAAGTACTCAGTCCCAGGCAAACCGGGACGGCTGGTTGCTCTGATTCAGATACCTTCTTTGGGCAAGTATGTGATAATCCGTGAATGAAGAACTAGACAGATCTTTACATACTTAAAATTTTTTGAAAAGCTATTGCAGACTTTCTTCATTCCTATTATATTCAACTTCAATCTTTCTCCCTTTATTTCCTGCCATTTTTGTCTTCTGGACCACTGGATAAGCTAGAGGCATGTTTTTCACTCGTTATTTGTCACGCTTCAGTTTTTTCATTTTTCTGAAACAGGTTATCCAGAAAAGGGACCTCCTCTGCCTGGTTTTCTGGTGATTTGTTTTGACTCTTCTGTTCACTCCTTATTTACTTTGGCAGCCGCATTATTTCTGACCGGCTCAGCTGAAGAAAATATCTCATCACAGAATGTCAGAGGCGCGTGCCGTGTCGGTACTTTGAAAACAGCTAAGTGTTACCCCTATCTCCAGCAGTCTCAAGGGCATGGTGTCACCGAGTGGGTAACCCCTCACTGCCTGGGACTGTCACATTACCCACACCCTCTTCTGATTAGATAGCTCTCTGCATCCATATCCCATGCTGGAGGCCTCACGTATTACACAGTGAAGAGCTAACTGCACTTGAACCTTTAAACTTATGAAACATTGGCAGAGCTGGTTTGCATAATTCATTCGTCTGCTTTTCTTTGAATTTCTCTTTGTATAATTAAAAATCTTTTTTCTTGCCTTATCCTCATTTTGTAACACTCTGGTGTAATCAGCTGTGTTATTTCCTAAACAGTTGAGAGGAAAAATTGTCACCGATAGCCAGGCTGTGAGATTCGTCTTAGTTGGAAATAAGCTGCATATGTCAGTATTCATTCAAAAGCTGAAATGTGCTTTGCTCTGTGCTTTTGAAAGCCTAAAAGCAATTTCAAATCATCTTCCATCATATAGCTGTCCTTTTAGCAGTGCAAAAGCTTAGTTTCCTAGAAATGAGTGAGACTTTAGCAAACAGCCATATGCTGATGTATACAAATTCTATCCATTGGCAAAGGACAGCGCTTTATTAAACTACTTGTAATTAAGTGTATGTTTAATTCTGTCTGCAGCCATGACAATGTATTAATAACATGTGGAATAGCCAGGAAGATAGAAATCCAATTCAAATAATGCTTTGCAGTGGGTGCTCCTTACCACATTTTACCCTCTCTGGGCTTTACAGTCCTGGCTGTGATAATTAGAACCCTTAGTCCAAGTGTCTCTGGATGGTTCATTAACTTGAGACTTTATGAAAACAAGAAAAGGACTTGTTGAGACTGCTGCTGCTGCTGTTGCTAAGTCTCTTCAGTCATGTCCAACTCTGTGCGACCCCATAGACGGCAGCCCACCAGGCTCCCCTGTCCCTGGGATTCTCCAGGCAAGAACACTGGAGTGGGTTGCCATTTCCTTCTCCAATGCATAAAAGTGAAAAGTGAAAGTGAAGTTGCTCAGTCGTGTCTGACTGTTAGCGACCCCATGGACTGCAGCCTACCAGGCTCCTCCGTCCATACAATTTTCCAGACAAGAGTTATTGAAACTACCCTTTGGTTTGGGGGGTTTTTTTTTGTTTGTTTGTTTTTGTTTTGCTTTGTAAATTTTTTATTTTAATTTTTTTGTATTTTTAAAGCTTTTTATTTTCTATTGGAGTATAACCAATTAACAATGTTGTGGTAATTTCACACAGACAGAAAAGTGATTGGCCATACGTATATATATATCCATTCTCTTCCAAACTTCCCTCCCATCTAGACTGCCACATAACATTGAGCACAGTTCCCTGTGCTATATAGTAGGACCTTGGTGGTTATTTATTTTAAATATAGCAGTGTGTACATGAGACTACACGTTGTTGAGAGCCCATATTATAGAATGAGATTTATGTAATTGAATTATACAGTTAACATAAATAGCACTATATAAACAGCAGACTCCAGATGAAATACAGCCTAGAATGTGTGGCCGATTTTAGCCTGGAGTGGCTGACAGAGCAGTCCTTGGTGCTGGCCAGCTTCCTCTTTCTTCTTCCTGTCTCATCTAAGTGTGTGCACGCCCTCTGGGATGGAGGCTGTTCTTGTTCCATTCAAGTTAGCATTAGCAAGGCCATCAGAGAATGCAGTGTGTATATCAGAGCATTAGGGACATTTCTCAGAGTCTACATTTGTAACCGTTTATGGTTTAGGTTAGTGACGGGAGGGAGCTTTTGATTTCAAGAGACAGACACCTCCTTGATTTGCAGTAGTGGGAAGAGGATTTATTACAAGCATATACGTTGACTGACACCGTGGACCTGGCCGTTTTCTCATTCTCTCTGGACTGTGTGGTTTCTTCCACTGTGTCTTTTGCTGCTCTTTGTTTTATTCTCTTCTCTCTACAGATAGAATTCTTTGACTTACTCATAATTTCACCTCCCTCATAAATTTGACTTCCACATATCTCTCTGCTCCTCCTTCTATATCCATAACTTTAAGCTGAAGTTCTGAACATTCAGTGGCTCAGTCTCTGCCCTTCAGAATTAAAGTCCCAATGTGGTATAGACTATTATGGATTTTAATACCTGTCTCTTACCCAGAGTGAATGCTTCTTGAGCATAGGGGTGAAGTTTGTTTTATTTGCCACAGTATACTCACAATGCCTAGCACAGAATAGGTATCAAGTAAATATTTTATGAATGAATAAACTATGCAAAAACCCATCTGAAATCCACTAATAAGCATTCTTGTGGGGGAAAGGTTTCTACATAACTTCAGCTAGCTACCTTCTCAAACACCAGTTGGCTTAGACTGAAGTCACCTTATTCTTTCCTAGTTGCTAAATACTTCTCACTGCCTCGCAAATTAGGGTCAAAATATTCAGTAAAGATCAATGTGATGAAAACATTCAAAGAGTAAATGTTGGGAGAGAGATTGTTTCCATGGTGACTTCTGCTTCAGGGAGCCCTCATATTGATGAGAGTGAGTCAGCTGACCCCCCACCAACCCAGAGCCATCCAGTTGCTGTAAACCGACAACCCACCTGCAGCATCAAGTGTGGAAGGCAGGAACCCTGTATTTAATCCAGTACTGGAACCTCCTTCTTTGGCTAAAATGAGCTTGTAAAAGCAAGTGGGGGCTCTGGAGGTGGGGCAGCAGGCAAGGTATGGATTCCGCTGCTGAAAGTCAAGGGTGTACTCTCACTTACCTGTGTAATGGCTTTAATCTTCGTGAGGCTGACCCTTCAGAGAATCGGTGTCCGAGTTATATTCTCTCTGTGTTCCCAACCACACGGCAGTGACAGAGGGGCCACTCTACTCCTACGGGGCAGAAGAACAACTTCCAGATTATAGAACAGGTGTTGGACCAAGTCCTCAGTGACAGAAACATGGACACCAGACACGTCTTGTGTGACCCGTTGCTGACTCCCTAACCACCACCCCTGTAACCAGTTATCCCTTGCTCTTATTCTTGTTTAACCATTTCACACAATTATCCTCTAGTAGCAGAAAGACTATGCTGTGGTTTTCTACTATTAATTCTTTACCTGTCGTGTTGTTTTATCATGAAAGAGATAACATCATTTCACAAACATTCTAAAAATTCCCAAGTAGGGACTTCCCTGGTGGACCAGTGCTTAAGAATCTGCTTTGCAGTGCACGGGATGTGAGTTCGATCCCTGGTCGGGCAACTAAGTTCCCACATGCCACTAGCAACTACTGAGCCCACGCACCACAACTAGAGTTTGTGCACCCAAAAAAAGATCCCGCAGGCCACAGCTAGGACCCAATGCAGCCAAATAAATAATGTTAAAGAAAAATTACCCAAGTAAATGTCATTTCCTCCAACATAGTTAATTTGCGAGATGAAATGTTTATTCCTGTGATACATTTGTTACTGAAACATTTTTAGAACTCCTCTTTCAGTGCCATTAACTTGCTTCTCTCATATTCTGAAGTAAGTAAATATTCAGTAGGTATCTATAGGAATATATGGATAAAGATGTGAACACATATGTGTTTTCACTATATTCTACTTAAAACTCTTCTTTATGTGCCTCATCTTTTTTTTTCTTCCCTAAATAATGAAAGATCCAGATATCTAATGAGCATTCCCATTTTTATGTCATTGTCCAAATTTGTACATGGTCAACTATGCAGTTCTTCACTTGACTTTAACTTTAGGAACTGCTGGTATCGCCCCTCAAATTTGATATTTGCTGTTGGACGTTAGAAACAGTATTATCTGCATGAAGCAGAATTTCAGGTTTCATGGCCTAACATTTGAAATATAAATAAAATGGATTTTCTTTTTATCTGCAGGAAATGTTCGATGTCATACTAGATGAGAATCAGCTGGAGGATGCATGTGAACACCTGGGAGAGTACCTTGAGGCCTACTGGCGTGCCACCCACACGACCAGTAGCACTCCCATGACCCCACTGCTTGGAAGGAACTTGGGCTCAACAGCACTCTCGCCATATCCCACAGCAATTTCTGGGTTACAGGTAGTGTCACTTGTGCTTTTACAACCTTACATTTAAGCCTCTATAGGAAACTCGATGGAGACGGAGACTGGGATTGTCCTCACTCTGAAGAGAGAACCACGTACATTACTATATCAAAAAATCTAAAGTAGGAGCTAATCATGTAGACTATTTTACACTTTACACACTCGAATCACTTTGGTTCATATACTTGCTATAAAGTATTAGCAAAAAACTTCTTCAGATTCACATCTTTTGGCTGCATTGATTCTAACAGATATTTTACACTGTTACATATACTGTTTTGCACACACTCAGAAGGCACTGGGCTTCCCTGGTGGCTCAGGTGGGCAAGAATCAGCCTGCAGTGCAGGAGACCTCGGTTCCATCCCTATGTTGGGAAGATCCCCTGGAGGAGGACATGGCAGCCCACTCTAGTATTCTTTTTTTTTTTTAATTTATTTTTATTAGTTGGAGGCTAATTACTTCACAACATTGCAGTGGGTTGTGCCATACATCGACATGAATCAGCCATGGAGTTACATGTATCCCCCATCCCGATCCCCCCTCCCACCTCCCTCTCCACCCGATCCCTCTGGGTCTTCCCAGTGCACCAGGCCCGAGCACTTGTCTCATGCATCCCACCTGGGCTGGTGATCTGTTTCCCACCACTCTAGTATTCTTGCCTGGAGTATTGCCATGGACAGAGTAGCCTGGCGGGCTGCAGTCCGTGGGGTTGCAAAGAGTCGGACACGACTGAGTGACTAAGCACACACAACACACACAGAAAGCATTACCTCGTCATGATCTACCCTAGACAGAGTTACCCAGAGAGTGGCCTTTTCCTTAGAACTTTGTACTCTGTTCATTTATAATGACTTTTACTTAAATTCATCCCTCCTCTGCTTACACTGGTGGTCCAGTGGTTAAGACTCTGCACTTCCAATGCAAGGGGCAAGGGTTGGATTCCTGGTCTGGGAACTATGATTCCACAGGTGCTGGTGTTGGCCAAAAATGAACTCATCTCTCCTATGTCTAAACCCTTCTAAGGGACTTACTACCTACTAGTCAGGGGTCCATTCATCACTTCTCCAACATCACTTCTTCAGGATTAGACAGTGGTGGCACTGTCAGGCACAGGATCAGCTAAGTGAGGAGGGATAGACGGACATTATGACCAGTCTTACCTAATCCTGCCCCACAGGCTGCAGGGCCTGTCCGTATGCAAACAGAATGCGCAGAGTAGAATTGTCTCAGTTGGAAATAGTGACAGATCTCTGAGTTTTCTTAGGGGTTAGCATGGCCCACCTTGGCCATCACCTGTGGCCTTTAGGGGAGTGGGGGATGAATGCAGGATCAGGAGGCTCGCTGTTCAGGTGCTGTGCTCAGGGCCAGACGTGGGGAGCCAGAGGCATTACAATATGAAGTGAATCTGATATTAATATGAATGCATGATATGTCATATGATATGTCATATGAATCTATATGATACCAAGCAGCTGCGGGAATGTGGCCAGACCCCCAGCTGACTGAGGAATGGTTGTCAATTGAGCTCTCTTGCATCATGACTAGTGTTGCATTAATGGGTTATAATAATAGTCATAATGTAGATCGTGTAGAGTTAAACTCTAAGATAAATGGCACTCTCTGAAATGTTATTATAATTCTATTACTGTTTTACAAAGCTACATCTTTGTAAGAAAAAAAAAAACTACCACATAAATAAATAGCTTTTGTGTCTGGAAATGAACTTGGGATACGTCCTATTGTAATATGCAGTGTATGTGTGGGTGCTGGGTCTCTTTCTTTCCTTGTTTTACTGCCTGCATGCTGATCTGAGTGTGGCACTTCCACTGACCAGTTAAGGTTGGCTCCAAGCTGTACACTGTGGGAGGAGAAATGGATAAATGAAGCAATGTGATTCTACCTAACAAGTTGGTAGACATGAAGAGTTGTACTTTGATTATGAATATAACACTCCTGACTTAGCACCTCTCAGACATCCACCCAGAGTGGTTCCCCCAGTTTCACTTGAGTTAACATGGTGTCCTTTGTCCTGGGGCCACGTTCTCCTAGTAACCATGGGCACTTAATTGTTAGACCCCTATGTGGGGCTAGAGGCAGAGGCTGTGACTGTTGAATGAGTTTCCCGCTGAAGGTGAATATCCTTTAGAGAAAATGTATCTTGGTCTTTGGTTTCATCAGTATCCTGTTTCTTTACTGAGGCGACCTACCCAGAAAAGGTAGGCACAGCTATGGATACATGTTTTCCTGAGATTTGAAGAAAAAATGTTAACAGCGTTTACTGAGCACTTAAATAAGTGACTGAAGATATTAATTTCATGTTATCAGAGGAATTTAGTTTATATTCTGAGGATTATTTTTCCAAGACATTTCAGTTGGAGGAAGCAAGAATTGTAAATGTATCAGTTAGCTGGCTTCATAATTACTGTATACTTCTTTGGAGAGAATGTTGCTGAGTCTTGCATTTATGTAGGATGTAGAAACAAATATTTTATGGGCAGTACAAATCATAATTTTACCAAAATATTTTTTAAAGGTATAAGGAACATTCAACTAGATAAAGATGAAGTGTGTGACTTTAGGAGAAAGCTTTTATCAGTTCAAGAGAGGAGGAAAAAATAGCCGATACTATTCTGAACTTTAACTTATTTTCCAATAGGAAAATAATCCTCATTTTTGCAATAGAAGTGGAATTATTAGGCTCTCCTAAATATACTAAGTTCCATTCAGCAGTTAACTTTCACTTTTATATTTTTCATAGGAAGCATAAGTATGCAGTGTTACGTAATTAAAATTCACAAACTACCAGCACTTTAACCTCTTTGCATGTTGAGTCCCAAATACATCAGACCAGATATTTCAAGCAGACCATTTGTACATCAGAATGTTTTATTAACTCAAATATTTAGCATCTTATTGTACAGATCCTCCTGTTGTACGTACATTTACATGTTCTACATGAACGAAGCAGACGTGATTTAACCAGTGAACCATCTGATATTTTTAGAGTCAGCGTCTGAGGCACAGCAACCACTCCACAGAGAACTCTCCAGTTGAAAGACGAAGTCTAATGACCTCTGATGAAAATTATCACAATGAAAGGGCTCGGAAGAGTAGGAACCGCTTGTCTTCCAGTTCCCAGCATAGCCGAGATCATTACCCTCTGGTGGAAGAAGATTATCCTGACTCATACCAGGACACTTACAAACCTCATAGGAACCGAGGATCGCCTGGGGGATATAGCCATGATTCTCGACATAGGCTTTGAGTCTGCAGAAACAAACAAAAAGTTCATCTGTTGACAATTTGCCATAGCACTGCTAGGATACAACCAGTCATCTTAACGTGGCAAGTACAGCACAGTACTGACTGTGCTTATGGACGGCTGTCATTGATGCTAAGAAGGGCAAAAAAAAAAATGTACATTATGCCCTTAAGTCTAGATGGATCTTAGATGCCCAATCATACAGATATTTTTAAGTGCAACATTTACATAGCAGTACCTTTTGTTTTCTTCATTAGATTTAGACACATCAATTTGTAATTTAGGGTACTTATCAAGGCACATATAAAATAATTTCCCATGCCGGAAATTCCAAATGACCAGTTCCAGTTGGAACCAATTTATAAACCAATTCCTGTTGGAATTTGGGTGAATTGACTAGAAAGTCTACTTGAGCATGTTGTAATCAATTTAAAAATCTGAAAAAAAAAGCAACTAATTAATAAGAAAATCAAAATACCAATAGAAGTCAAAACCAGCAGTTGTATTTATTTGCTGGAAGCTAAATTTACACTTAAAGTTGGAATGTATAAACATTTTAATATGCGTTAACATTGCCAGAATGGCTTTTCTAACTTATCAAATGTATTGATAGTGCCAAAAAAAAAACTCAAATTAATGCAGAAATTCTTTAGTCTCCTCAGATTTTAATATTTTTTATTTCTTTTCTGGCATAGCTGTTGTATTCAAAGTATTCTGCTTTTTTGTTTCGTCACAACTGTTACCATGTTTGAAGTTGGCAAAGAAATTCAACATTTCTTTAGCAGTGAGAGAGGATAGTAAAGAGAAGCCCAATCATAGTTGGTTATGCAAGATGGAAAATGGGGTGTTGTTTCCTCTTTCATCAGTCTGAGCACAGCTACATCCATCCAGGAATCTGAAGTCAGACTCTAAGGATAACACAGATCCTCCTGAGTGCAAGGCTGAACATTTCCGGTTGAGATTTCATCTGTCCCACTGACCACACATATGTTTGTGTTTCCCACCAGCACAATTGAATATCTTTCCATTGCTTCACGCAGTCTCTGCCTTTGAGTGTCTGAATGTGCTAGCCCTTCATCAAATTCTTTATAATCATGCTACAGGCTTTTTGTTTTACATGAACACATTGAATTTTGATATTGAAAGCTGTGTTTATACAAAATGACTAATTGAAAAACTGTGAAAATGAATTTAAAAGCTTGCAGTAAAAAAAATAAATTTGTAGATTCAGAATAGATTTGTTCACTAAAATTATATCATTTTTATTGAAGAGAATTATAAAGAATTTGAAGATTGAACTGCCTTATTTCTAATGAACACTCTTCTTTACCTATTAAGTCTTCACAGTTTTTCCAGTGGCTATAAGTATGGAATTGATCTTCTGTCTTATATGATCAAAGAAGCCTTAGATTCACTCTGATCCATGAAACTATTAAAATTGACTCTTTTATACAATACACAAAAGTCTTTAGGAAAAGACTTTTGTTTCTAAGAGTCTGTTTTTCTAAAGCCCCCATAGGATCAGGCATAAAAATCATTTTCTACTACTACATCATAAAGTCTATTTTTTTTGGAAAACAATGAAAATTCATTTTCTGTTATCTTATTTCCCCCCATCCAAGCCTTTCAGTGTTTATGCTCTCAAAGCATGCACCAGTTAAATAATTTTCTTGACCATGAAAATAGGTTCCCTACTCCTGATTAGTTATATCTTGAACCTCATTATTGACCCCCTCCAATACACTCTCCTTCTGTTGTTCACTGTGCATACCCCATTATGAACCTGTTTAGCTGATAATGAGGATATCCATAGTTATGTGAGTTATCTGAAATATTTGATAGAATTAAAAAATGTGGGCTCAGTGAATTCTTAAAGTTAATATGTGATACTGGCTTGTGAGGTTCTTTTGTCGTCTAGTGAAGCTTACAAAACTTTCAGTTAAGACATTTAAAAGAGTTATATCCACTAGGCACTTTAATAAACATACAACCTACCATTACTGAATACTTTGTTAGAGCACAGAAGAGCATTTTCCAGCAAACAAATATATTTATTACATGTACAGCACATATTTGCATGAGAAAGAAGACATTAGCCAAAACATTTTTCTATATGCTTTCCTGGTTTCTTGTTTGTGCGCATAAAAGTATTTAATTGCAAGGAGTGCACCAAGGTGTTTAAACTTAGACTAGACAGCTGTTCAGCTTTTTCTGTAGTAGCATTAGCAATCTGGTCATTTAACTACTTTAAGATATTTACATTTTACAGCAGGTAGCTGTAACAGCATTTACATATATTTCCTAGTCAGCAAGATTACCATATTCTTTCAACTTGTAAAAATCTCTTATTTTTAAAGACCTCTCAATGCCTAGTTTCTGAGTCTTCCATGTCATGCTGATAAAAAGAGAGGTCCATTCAATTCTGTGCACAAGACCAGTCTTTCCTTGACCATCAAGCATCCACACCTGTTTTGCTTTGCGTTCTTATTCAAAAGCTAACAACCTTGGAAAGGGTATAATGTATATTTTCTTGATGGATATAGTTAAATTTTTACTTGGATTTGGCACCTTCTTTCCCCTTCCTTTTCTAATAAGTTGTCTTTTCCAAATGAATAAGGGATATGCATTTTCCTTTTTTTTCTTAAGCCTTAGAGTTTATTGTGTAACTGATACTAAAATACAGACACATACTAAATGAAAAGTTTTATTTTTGCCAAGCACATCAAGCACCTTTGGAAAATACATATTCCACAAATACTTTGTTTTTAATGGGTTTCATTTAACAATAGCAAATGATGAGGAGGAGAAACAAGTCTTAGAACATTTTGAGGCTGTATTAACTTGTAGTATAAACCACGTATTCTGTACTTTCAGCATATATAATTTCAGGATATGTAAATCATATTCTGTAATTTCAGTCAGCGAACATGTAACAATGTAGACTCGTGTGACCATGTGGAAATGTAGTCTTGGAAAAAAAGGAATGCAATTTGTCAATCCTGATGTTGATTCTCAAGGCTGTAATGTGACTCCAGTATTATTATCAGCGATGTTTACTCCAATATTTAAAGCAGCACTTAGATATGTTTTTAAATGACTGACAATTCTCTCTTATCTTTATACAGTTCTATTGGAAAGAAAATTGAAATTAACAATTCAGACCAATAGTCTTTCCTAATAAGAGAGTCTTAATTATGTGACAATATGTCATTGCACTTAGTTCTTAATGAAATGAATTTTTAAAATATAAAACAAATTCTGAGAAAATTATATGTTCCCTTTGAATAATTTGTTAATTACTTTAATTATTATTGTTGTTTGCAAAGTGTATTTTTGGAATGTTAACCTCTTTTCATACCTGCATACTTGAACTTGTCTTTTGTGTGAGGGCCTTAAAATTCATGGTAGGAACCTAGGGCAGTGAAAGGGAGGGAGAGAAGGAATCAATGCCAAAAGATGGTTTACAAATTTAAACTCCTTGAATGAACATATCATAAAATGTTGCTGAGACTCAGGATGTCTGTTAAGAATGTTTCTAGGCAACCTTAATTTGCATGCCAGTGTATTTCCTTAATTACACAATTTTATTTTGGTATTGGGTAAAAAATAAAAATAACAGAATGCCACTATAGAAGTTCAGCTGGTAAAGAATACACCTGCAACGCAGGAGACCCCAGTTCGACCCCTGGGTCGGGCAGATCCGCTGGAGAAGGGATGGGCTGCCCACTCCAGTATTCTTGGGCTTCCCTGCTGGCTCAGCTGGTAGAGAATCCGCCTGCAATGTGGGGGACCTGGGTTCTATCCCTGGGTTGGGAAGATCCCCTGGAGAAGGGAATGGTCACCCACTCCAGTATTCTGGCCTGGAGAATTCCATGGACTATACAGTCCATGGGTTACAAAGAGTCAGACATGACTGAACAACTTTCACTTCACTATAGAAATTGCCCTATATATTGATATTTATACTACCTCTTCTCTAGAGAAGACAATCTGTCTTTAAAGAGAAAAACACTTTTCAATGAGTAGTGAATTTATTACTCTTACTGCTAACCTTGCTGGAAAGCTAAATGAATAAATTGTTAAAATGTACTTTCCCTTTGGATTTTAAATTGTTGCCAAATGCTTGTCACCCTTTCATTTCTTCCATGTTAGTGAAATCTTCTTTGAATTGGTTCACAGTTTATCAAGAGGCAAGGTAAACATTTCATAGGATACAAGACAGACTGCAAGGAAATTGCTTTTTTATGCAATTTGTTATATCATCAAACTCTAAAAGCAGATTCAGAGACCTGATGTTTAAGTGCAGCTGGTTTGCAAATTCAAATTTTGTTGATCCTTGACTTTTCCTGCATACACTTGGCCATCTTGGAAGCCCAGACCATTGGAACAAATTCATATGAATGTTTCAAATAAATGGGAATGTACCTCTATTTCTTTTATATTTTTGCCTATATTTCTGTCTTTCATAACACTGTTGCATGTTCTTTTCTTTATGAATTATATAAAACTCATTCTTTGAATAACTGTGAATGACAACATGATAGAAAATTATATAATTACATTTATTTCTTCAATTCCTTATACCTTTAAATATTGTTAATGCCATAATTGTTAAGTTACTTACTAAAGCTATGTCTATAGGACAGAGCACAGAAAAGTCCTCTTCTTTTAAATTATAATCATGACCAAACCACTCAATATTATAGTTGTCAGACAGCAAGGATAACTCTTTTGTTGCAGTCAAGTTAGTCAAATAGTAATCAGTTTATATGGACAAACAGAGCTACAGCATTCAAAAATTACTTTTTTAAAAGTTTCTCCTTCTGTTAAAATAAACTTGCTCAAATGAAACTCATCCTCATATAGCAACTCTCTCTCTACTTGTGGATGGTTTCATACCAAATGCTTCATGTAATTAAGAGATAATTTGAAAGGACTAGATAATATTTCATCGGATAATCTTGACTAAGGGCTGTAACTCCCACTTACCATGAAAACATATA